ATTATTATTATTATTATTATTATTATTATCATTATCATCATCATCATCATCATCATCATCATCATCATCATCATCATCATCATCATCATCATCATCATCATCATCAGGTTTTTGACTGAGGGCTCAGTCATCACTACCCAAGATGGCTGAGTTGACATATGCCAGCGGAGGCTGTGCTAAATCCAAACCCTTCCCTTTCTAGACATGCTCGAAATTATTTAGAATGAGCCAAACCTTTGAGTCTGAACTGGACAAGGTTGGGCTCTGGAATAACTTAGCTCCTTTCCGTCTCTGCTCCTTTTTTGGCCCTTCTGTCGGCTGATCTCAGCCACACAACAGTTGTGGCACTAAATCCAGTTGTCCAGGGATTCCTGAGATCATCTGACACAAGGGGATTGTTCTGCGCAAGAGGCTTGTGCCTGTTCCTTTTTGTTTGTTTGTTGTTTGTTGTTTTATTACTTTTTAGATTGTTCTTAAACTACAACATAAACGTAAACGTAAAATACATAAACCAAAATACAAATCGACTGTGATCCCTACCACCCTAGTAATACATAAACCAAAATACAAATCTACTGTGATCCCTACCACCTTAGTAGGGACCTCTTGTAATAATCCTCTTCTTCCTCTATCTTCATTCTTCTTCCTCCTTTATTGTTCTCTTCGCCGGAACTGCATTGATTCTTCAAGCTTCTGCCCATTCCAAATCCACTGCTGCTGGCATATTGTTGAGTTTCAGTTGCACTGCCTGATGGGTAAAGGTTAGGGGGCAACAGTGTGACTCCACTTTATATCCTGTTTTTGTGTCCCCAAGGAGAAAAACTCAAAAGCAGCCAGGGCATTTATTAACTCAAAGATGTGCCAACTGGATGAATGTGATCTCCAGTGCCTCCTCCTTTTTGAAAGCCAGCTTGACTGTCAGGCACTTCTCGCTCCTTATAAGATAAAAGCCTTTGTTGTAGCATCTTGAGCATCACTTTGCTTGGATGAGAAAATGAACAATGGTCCTGTAGCTACTGCACTCTTCGACATCTCCTTTCTTAGAAATTGGAGTCTGTTTGTGTTTTGTGGGGTTATTGTTTTGCTTTCCATATTTGTTGACATATTCTTGTTAAGATTTTGATAGATTGGCTTGAAACAGTTCTATTGATATTTCATTTACCGTACCTCTGGTGATTTATTTCTTCCTAATGCTTTCAGAGCAGCTTTCACTACACTATCTAGAACTGCAGATTCTTCATCATAAGCTTCCTCTTCAAAGAGTCTATCATCCTGTTGTCTCTTCTGTATAGGTCTTTGGTATAGTATTTCTACCTTCTCTTAGGTTTCTCTGGGTCAGATAATGTGCTTCCCTATTGGTCATTTGGCATTCCTAATCTAGGCTTGAATTTCCGTTTTATTTCTTGGATTTTCTGGAATAGATCTCTTATTTTCCGCTTTTTTTAGTCTTCCTCCATTTCTTAGCACTGTTTTTTTTTAACAGTTCTCTTTGTCTGCACATGATAGTCACTGAAAAACTGCATTCAGGGTTCTAACTCTACTTCTGTCACTTTCTACTTTTCCCTCTCCTCTGTCCTTTGCAATTTTAAGTGTTTCTTCCATCATCCATCAAGTTCTTTTCTTTTTACTACAGGAAACATCTTTTTGCTTTCTTCCCTGACAATATCTTTGGATTTTCTCCATAGTTCCTGGTCAATTGAGTTTGGTAGACCACCATGTAATGCAGTTTTGTGATTCTCATTTTTCTCCCAGGACCACATAGTTCCTTACCAAAGCCTCCCAATGTCGTCAGTGCAACCATTGCAGGTGAGTATCCTTCATTCTGTTAGGATAACAACAGCCGCTGAACTTATTACAAATAGTCAAATATTTTATATTAAGGAGTCAGCGTCCTGAAGTGGACAGCGACTCAGATGAGGACACAAGAGACTTTGATTCAAACATCTGCCTGGCGATGGAAATTCACTGTGGGGTGCTAATGGTGAAATCTTACATACCTTGGAAACCCTGTTTTTGTTGTTGTTGTTGTTGTTGTTTTGACTTACACACTGTCCCCTAGTGCTGGAGTGCTCTCTGGGAAGTTTACAACATAATTAAGCAAGCAACACTTTGCCCCCCCCCAGTGAGCTGGGTACTAATTTTAATAACCTTGGAAGGATGGAAGGCTGAGTGAACCTTGAGCAGGCTACCTGCACCCATCAGGATCAATTTCAGGTCATGAGCAGAGGCTTGACTGCAGTACCGTAGGCTAATTACTGTGTGATAGGTCTCCATATTAGGCCATCATATGTCAAAAGCAATTTAAAGGCACATCTCTCTCTCTCTCTCTCTCACGCACACACACACACACACACACACACACGAGCACACAGGCATGCACATGTGCATGCGCACACACAGAGTTTTTAAAAAAGATATTGCTTTGGAGGGAAAAAAACTGAAACAATGGCCATTTCAGTTGACGGTTGGCATGATGCCATGTGAAACAACAGGAGTTACCACAGAGGGAGGAATGATTTAAAGTCTTAAACAGACATGTAGAATCCAGTCTTAGTTCACTGTGATGTGGCATTCTGACATCTTGATCTGGACTGGCTAATAACTGCGGAACGGGCTTTTAAAAGACTGGTGTTACCTTTAAAAAAAACCATCACATCATTGCAAAAAATCTCAGCAAGCCAGTTCCAATCCAGCTGCTTTTTTAATTCAATGAAGTTTTTATATATTTTTTAAAAATTGTTTTATTGGACAAAATCCTGTCACACAGCTATTCCGCACTTGGAATCCAGCCAATAAGATGTGTTCTATCATGATCTCTTGCTATCGGTTTGGACTGTATCCGCTTTCATTTAGTGACAAGCTGCAAATTAAAATAAGAGACATTAAAAATAAATACAGGAATGAACATCTAACAAGCACTTGCATTTCAGAAACAAGAATGATTTATTACATATTAAAAGGACTGTTTTGTGTTATTCTTCCCCCTTCCAGCTCTGCCTGCTATATGCACCCTCCTTCCCGACACGGGGCCTTGCCAGCAGTACCATTCCCGTTATTACTATAACATGAAGAGACAGAAATGTGAAAAATTTGTTTATGGTGGCTGCTTCGGCAACGGGAACAGATTCACCACCTCCGGGGCCTGCAGAAAGAAGTGCAAAACCTCATCAGGTGAGAACCTCTCAGTCTCCACGCACTTTTGCGATGGGTCCCAAAGATGGCTCCTGACTGAATAGAGAGGGAAGAGTTATATTCAAAGTACAATTCCTCCCCCCCCAAAAAAAGTTATCTTTTGGGTCACATTTCCCAGAATCCCCCTCTGGAAAAATGCTGTGGGTGCTGTTTTTCTTTAGGTGACCAAAAATAGAGATATCTGAATACCCGACAGCTTGTGCAATCATCATCAGGGATGGGGACTCCGAGTCGCAGGACTCACTGTCAAGTTGGGTACACATGGGTGACTCAGACTCGACTTGATTTTTTTTCTTTTCAATGACTTGGACCTGAAACTCACCCATCCCTCCCTTTTTTAATGGGGGGAAAACTTGTTTTTAATAGGGACTTGCAACTGGGACTTGGGACTTGGGAACAAAGAGTCGGACTTGGACCCAAAGCCTTGGCAACATCCCTGATCATCAAAGGCGTGCAGGTTGAGCACATAGACCGTGTATTATCATCTCCAGGCCTAGCTCAGTGCAGCCTTTGAACAGCAATAGCCACACGTCTTTGGGCCCATACAGTGGTGCCTCGCGTGGCGAGAATAATCCGTTCCAGCGAAATCGCTGTAGAGCGAAATCCTCGTCAAGCGAAATAAAAAAGCCAATTGAAACGCATTGAAAACCGTTCAATGCATTTCAGTGGGTGAAATACCTGCTTGTCCATTGAAGATCCTCCATAGGGCGGACATTTTTGGGTGCCTGTGCAGCGAAAAATGCCTCCTAAAAACAGTGGGGAGCCATTTTGAGCAGCGGGTGGCCATTTTGAAAACCCAATGATCAGCTGTTTCGATCGTCATAATGCGAAGAATCGGTTCCCAAAGCAGGGAACCGATCGTCGGGAAGCAAAAAAAGCCCATTAAAACATGGTTTTGCGGTTGCAATTGCGATCGCAAAAACATCATCGGCAGGCAGATTTGTCGTCAAGCGGGGTGATCGTTAAGTGGGGCACCACTGTATCTGGTTTTGTGACATTTTGCTCGCCTGTTCCAGAGGAGAGCGCCTCCTTCCACTCCGTGATGGATCACAAGTGTCAAAATAGTAGTTTCATTCTTGACTGGACAGCTGCATTAAAGGCCTCTACACAGTGCAGCTTCACCATTGTCTTCCTAAGGTTGTCGATGCAGCAGAAAGCGGGGTTGTTCAGATCGTTTTCGCTAATAAAAGTGCTTCCATTTTTACCTGGGCTATGGAGGACTGTGTGCAATGCGATTTTGTGGGTTCCTCCTTTCTTCTAGGACCGCCTCCACCTTTGCGAAAGCACCCAAATGCTTCCATGGAGACCACGGCAGGTGAGAGCCAAACATCCTAATTTCTCAACAGAGATAGCAGAAACAGCAACTGCCAAGTTTATGACAAATTTATGACAGAGATAGCAGAAACAGCAACTGCCAAGCTTATGACACATTTATTTATTTTTATTTATTAATTCTATTTATACCCTGCCTATCTGGTCATTTTGACCATTCTAGGCGGCTTACAACATAAAAACATAACAAATATATGGAAAAAATATAACAATTAAATAATTCTGCAAGATGGGAAGCATACAATATAAATCAAATAGAGAGACTTCTTCCCATTGTGGCATTTTCTGTTGGTTTCTCAGTCTGGAAAACAATGTCACGTGTGAAATTTGAGATATTGGCCTAAAAATCCTATCTGAATTAGACCAGATTAATTGGCCCGATGGCACCTACACGCTTGCTAAGTATTGACTCAATGAGTTATCTTTCATTCGGTAGGACTACTGTAGCTATGACTGATACTGTACTTGACTTTTTAGGCCATTATGAGAGGGATATTAGACAACCTACCATAGAATACAAAGTGGCCACAGTAGCTGTAGAATTTGGGGGGTCTGTTTTAATGTCTTATGAGCTATCCTACCTCCCACTGGCAAGATGGCTGAGTGGTTTAGGCACTTGCCTGCGGAACAAGAGGTTGGGAGTTCAATTCCTCACCGTGCATCTCATAAGAGCCGGCTTGTGTGGCCTTGGGCAACCTGTACAGTCCCCAAACGCCCCCAGAAGAAGGGGATTGTGCCCTTCTGAATATTCTCTACCTGGAAAACCCTAAAAAGGCTTGCAGAAAGTCAGAACTGATTTGACAGCTCATGATTATTTATTGTCCTAGGCCCCAGATATTAATTAAATTTTCTATATATCCAGGAACTAGCTCTAGAAAACCTCCTGCATATTTAAAAAAAACTGGAACAATTTATTAGATGCAGATATTAATTTTTTCTGTCATTTTCTCTTCCCCCCCCCCAATAAGGTTTGCGAAAAGCATGCACCCTCCCACCTGAAAAGGGGCCTTGTGAAGAAGTTCATGTTTTTTATTATTATAATATCAAGAGTAAAAAATGTGAAACGTTTCTCTATGGCGGATGCTTGGGCAACAATAATAAATTTCCCACGGCTGATGCCTGCAAAAAGATATGTGGAAACTCGACAGGTAAGAACATTATGGTCTCCAAAACCCGCTCTGCTGATGCTGAAAAATGTGGATTATAGCAAAGACTATTACAGTGGTGCCTCGCTTAACGGGAGCCCCGTTTAACGATGAATCCGCATAGCGATGAAGATTTTGCGATCGCAAAAGCGATCGCATTGCAATGTTTTAAATGGTAAAAAATCGCTTTGCGATGATCTGTACGGTTTCGCATACCGATCATCGCATAGTGATGATTTCCCAACAGCTGATCGGCAGTTCCAAAATGGCCACCGGGTAAAAAAAAATGGGTGCCCACTGTGTTTTTGCCCGGATTCCTCACTTACCGGGCAGCAAAAATGGCTGCCGTATGGAGGATTTTTGCTTAAAGGTGAGTTTTTTGCCCATAGGAACGCATTAAACGGGTTTTAATGCATTCCTATGGGCTCTTTATTTTTGCATAGCAATGAATTCGCTTTGCAGTGATTTTTGCTGCACAGATTATCGTCGCTATGCGGGGCACCACTGTATAATACTGAATGCTATACATAGTATGATCTCTGGCTCCCTCTAGTGTCCAGTTCTAGTAACTTCATAGTTTAAAATACAGTATTTGGGTTTTTTTCTTTTAATATTTTTAATATTTTCAGACTGTGGCTAAATGAATCAGTGGATACTGATCCCACACATAAGGGAGTCCTATTGTGCACTCCGGCTTCGAAAAGTTACTATTCAGATCCCAGCTCCCAAAATCATCCCAACCACCACGGCCGCTAGCTATGCTTGCTGGAGTTTCTAGGAGCTTTAATGTGGAAAAGTTCCTTTTGTACATGTCTGGTGAACAATACCAAGAGAAAGAGCAAAGGGAGGGTGGTGGTAAAATTCAACAAATGTTTCTTCTCCTACTTGGAGAATGACATAGTTGGATTTGGGATTCTTCATTTTCCGGAGTGGTGGTCATTCAAAGGACAATGCTGTGGATAACACCGCCCCCCCCAAAAAAAAAACAGACAGTGAAGAGTAGATTTATTTTGTAAACAAATGATTGCACATGTCCAAGTTGAGGGTGTTGGCCAGGTGCTGTTTGAACATCCTCCAGTTCTTGAGACTTTCTCTTTTCCGTTGTGGACAACAGTATTAACAGAAAAGCTGAATTTTTAACTGAGTGTTTACATGAAAAAGCCCAATGCAATGCTGCTTTGTGGTTCTCCTCTGTCTCCTAGGGTCATCCACACCCGCACTGGTGCCTCCAGTGGCCCTTGATGAGACAACTACAGGTGAGAGACAGTCATTCTGTTCATGCAAGGCAGATGCCAGCAGTAGCCATGTTTACTGTAAATAGTTGGTTAACTGTGACAATTAAGAATCTCTTTCGGACAAGTTGGCAGGATACTTTTGTAAAATGAAAGTATGCTATTCTCAAAGGCTTTCATGGCCTGGATCTGATGGTTGTTGTGGGGTTTTCGGGCTCTTTGGCCATGTTCTGAAAGTTGTTCTTCCTAATGTTTTACCAGTCTCTGTGGCCGGCATCTTCAGAGGACAGGAATAGAACTCTGTGCTCTGCTGCAGTTTGTTTGAGAGTTGAGTTTTTATAGCTGTGGGATCAACTTTTGTCCTTTTCAGGAGATGGGTGATTATGGTGATCAGTGTGTTTTTGTTGTGGGTGTATTGTTGTGATAAGGAGGAGACGTTAGGAAGAACAACATTTAGAACAGGGCCAAAGAGACTGAAAAACCCACAAAAAACCATGGAAGTATGTTCTTTGGATTTTTTCCCCCTACTCTTTCAAGCAAGAGAAGACTGTTGCTTTCCTTTCCCACTTTCATAACGTCGACTGTGCTTGTTTCTGGAATACAGTTTCTCATGAAAACTTTGGCATATTGGACTAAGTCCAGCCTAAAGTGCTATAAGTCCATTAAATAAATCCAATAGATCAATTGAACGTACATAAGATGTGTTGATTTATCAAATTCCAATTCACCGAATGGGGCCTAGAGCAGGTGAAATGAATACAGTGGACCCTCTACTTACGGAATCTGCAGTTTGTTTGAGAGTTGAGTTTTTATAGCTGTGGGATCAACTTTTGTCCTTTTCAGGAGATGGGTGATTATGGTGATCAGTGTGTTTTTGTTGTGGGTGTATTGTTGTGATAAGGAGGAGACGTTAGGAAGAACAACATTTAGAACAGGGCCAAAGAGACTGAAAAACCCACAAAAAACCATGGAAGTATGTTCTTTGGATTTTTTCCCCCTACTCTTTCAAGCAAGAGAAGACTGTTGCTTTCCTTTCCCACTTTCATAACGTCGACTGTGCTTGTTTCTGGAATACAGTTTCTCATGAAAACGTTGGCATATTGGGCTAAGTCCAGCCTAAAGTGGTATATCTTTTTGTGGGATCTGTAAGTCGAGGGTCCACTGTACTTGGATTTTGACCATTATCTAAGACACAGGGGAGAATCTGGTGCACTGTAAAAAGCTACCATAGTTGCTGCTAAATTTCTTTTTGTGGGAGTGTGGAAGTCCATATTTTATTTCCAAGGAGAAAAATTGTTCCTTGAGATTTTCTAAGAGCAGCAATTCTAGCCACAATTTTTTAAAAAAAACATCTTAGGGATTATATGTACAGTAGTCTGACAGCTGGATGTTTCCCATTTTTCTTCTGTTTTGCCTATTTTTGATCACCTGGTTCAGAGCAATGGGCTTTAACTTCCACAATGGAGAACACCAGCTTCCAAAAATGACAGGAAAGAACTACTGTATGTCTGAAACAGACCCTTAAGCACATGGGGGAGCAGAACCCAAATAGGGTTGTGGTCTAGCTGTATCAGTTTTGTTGTGAACTGCCTTGCATCTCAGATATAAATAAACAAATACAAATATATGCAGGTACAGACAGCTGAGTGGGCTGGATAGCTCAGTGAGTTAGGTATCTGGCTGAAGAGCCAGATGTTGGGAGTTTGATTCCCCACCGTACCTCTTGGGAGAAGAGCCAGCCTGTGTGGCCCTGGGCCAGCTGCACAGTCCTAGAAGTGCCCCTGGAAGAAGGGAACAGTGAACCACTTCTGAGTACTCTCTACCGAGAAAATCCTGCAAAGGGTCATTGTAAGTCGGAATTGACTTGAAGGCACACATTTATTATTTTTATATGAAGATCGGAAAAGCATATTCAGAAACTGGGTTTATTTGTTGTCTATAAATGCGACTTTTCTCTCTTACTTTGCTCCTCCTCCCCCCCCCAAAGCATGCACGCTTCCTCCCCAAAAGGGACCTTGCAGGGAGGACATCACCCGTTATTACTATAACGCCAAGAGCAAACGTTGTGAGACGTTTCTTTATGGAGGCTGCATGGGGAACGATAATAACTTTTTGACGGAGGAGATCTGCAAACAGGCGTGCAAAGTCTCAGAAGGTAAGGTCATCTTGATCCCAACGGGCTAGCTAAGGGGAAAGGAGATGATGCTTGGAAATCCGTGCATTTCTCAGATATGCAGTGCATTTTACCTGGAAAGGAACAAACTGCCAAAAAAAAAAAAAGATCAAAAGGCATGCTGTTAAAAAAATTGCAAAAACATTATTTTAATCAATAAAAATTCAAATAAAATGTATTTATTGGTGTGTATAATATATGCATACATAGAGCTTGCATATATTTGAAAAGGAGTGACATAATAGCAGAAGATTCTGGTAATACTTAAGCTATGTATGGGCACCTGTGCATGGATATTTCCTGCATAATAAGGTATAATAAAGGTAAAGGTTCCCCTTGACAATTTTTGTCCAGTTGTGTTCGACTCTAGGGAGCGGTGCTCATCCCCGTTTCCAAGCCATAGAGCCAGTGTTTTGTCCAAAGACAATCTTCCGTGGTCACATGGCCAGTGCGACTTAGACACGGAATGCTGTTCCCTTCCCACCGAGGTGGTCCCTATTTATCTACTCGCATTTGCATGCTTTCGAACCGCTAGGTTGGCGGGAGCTGGGACAAGCGACGGGCGCTCAATCCGTCGCGTGGATTCGATCTTACGACTGCTTGGTCTTCTGACCCTGCAGCACAGGCTTCTGCGATTTAGCCCGCAGCGCCACCACATGCCAATACGGTATAATAGGAGTTCCATATTTGCAGGACTGGTATCCGCGGTTTCACTTATCCGTGGTCTGAAAATATTAAAAGGAGGGAAAAAAACTGGGGAAGAAACCTCTTATTGCTCAGGATTATAACTTTAAGCAAACTGTGGGAGTAGAGATGAGCCAATGTAAAGAAATCCAGTGACATCTGGAGGGTTGCACTGTGCTTACCCCCTTCTAGAGAAAAGCATACGTGGGAGAGATGCAGGTTTCAGGAGCTGAAATTACCTTCTTTGTCTTCTCCTCCAGGCTCTCCTCCTTCCAGCTCATCCACTCCACGTCCTTCCTCTCCACCTGTAGACTCAAATGCTCTGCCTGTAATATGCACACTGACTCCTGTAAAAGGAAGATGCCATGGGCACCACACACGCTATTATTATAACGTAGAGAGCCACAGCTGTAAGATGTTTGTTTATGGTGGCTGTCTAGGCAACGGAAATAGGTTTTACACCATGGAGGAATGCCTGAAGAGGTGCAGAAGTACAAAAGGTAAGGTGACATAGCTGTTGATCGCAACCCACAGGCCCCGTAGCTCCCATTTCTGATTGGAGAGAAAGGAAATGGCACCGAATTTAATTGATTGGAGGTGAGGGGAGGATTTAATTGTTTTATTCTCTGTGTAAGCTGCCATAGGAAGGTAACCAAAGACCAGTGTGAAAATACTTTAAATAGATGGCAAATGAATATAGATGTAGTCGCTAATAATCAACAATATCAATAGCTAATAAATCACTGAGACGGCTCAAACAAATGTACAAGTAAAAGGCAAGAGAAAGTTATGTAGGAAAAAGACACTTTCTTCCTACCTTTTCTAGTACTGTACAGTATTAGGTTTTTTTTATTTCAAAACTATAAGATCCCCTAGAATAACCATAGTCATGGAAGAAGGTACTGTAGAGGGCTTGCCTTCATGGGCTCATGGGCGTAGGCGGGAGTGGGCTAAATGGGGTTGGGTCGCTAGAGGTCAAGTTGGAGGGATGGTGTGCCATTTAGTGTGATCCTCACATCCAAATGACATGCACTTCAAATGACTTTATTTGGTCCTGCTCCTTCTGTTGTCAATTCCTCATATCATGAAGTGGCTTTAGCAGAGAGCCACTTCATGATACTGGTAAATTAAACGTTTCCTCAGCTCCATGGAGGGACAAAGCACGTTCTCTCTCTCTCTCTCTCTCTCTCTCTCTTTTAGACCGAATCAGGGCAGGACTACGTCACTTACAAAAAATAAGTGGATTTGGATAGGCACAGGTTCTCAATCTCACTTTTAAGACAAATCCCAAAGAAAAGAAAAGAAACCCCCATTGTTGACCCCCGGTATCCTCCCACTTCTGGGAGGAAGTTTTCAAATTAAAAAAAAAAACACACAGTGCATCAGTGCTCCCTAATGCAGTTTAATTTTTTTTTTAAAGTTTGCCCACGTCTGAGTTCACAACAACACCCTTTTGGCATTCCCATCAATTGGAGTCAGGTTATAGAATGTCTATGAACATTCTAATTCCTATAGCATGGAACCTACAGTCCAGGTTCTCAGAGAAGGGATTTTTGGTGGCTAATGAACAGAAAGCTGGCTTTAGAGAGTTCCCGAAAGACAGAGAACCACAGAGGCAGATACCTCAGTGGCAGAGTGAGGACTGCTAGAAAAGAACAAATTAAACAATGGAGTAATATATATCGAGTGTGGGCCAAGTGAGAGACACGAGGATTGGAGAAATAGATTTGAAGATTGTGGGCTTTTAGCAGTGCTCAGAAAAGTTACTCTTTTGGACAACATCTCCCAGAATCTATGCTGGTTGGAAAAATCCAGGAATTTTTGACAAAAAAACAAAAATCTTCCAAGTTCTGCTATGAAGCCAAAAGGGGCATAAGCAACACAGCTTAGTTATTTCCCCCAGAATAATAAATGGGAGCAGATCACATTGAAATCAAAAAGACTTAATTCTAGGTACACATATACAGAGGTAGAGTTAACCTGTAGGCTTAGGTTTCTTGCGAACAATATCTTCCTCAGTTATCTGTGTTCCTGTTGTCCCCTCCCTGTCTTGCAGAGATGCCTATCGTTTGTAGAATTCCTAAAGATTCTGGAACATGCTCCCAAAGATTGATTCGCTACTACTATGACCAGGCCAGTGGCAGTTGTGAAACATTTGTGTACAGCGGCTGTGATGGCAATGCCAATCACTTCCACAGCATTGAGGAATGCCAGACGATATGCAGTGTTTAATGGGTAAGTTGAGTGGAAGGGGGGGGGAGGCTTTTTGCTGTCGTCACGCCAGAGGAATAGAATCGTATCCTAGAATCACAGAATCATGAAGTTGCGAGGGGCCTAGAAGGCCATCAAGTCCAAATCCCTGCTCGATGCAGGAATCCAAAGCAAAAGATGCCTGCCAGGTGGTTGTCTAAAATGTCTTTAGAATGCCTCTAATGTTGCCGCACTCACTACCTCTTGGTTCCATAGCTGCAGGCTGGGCTACATTTTTCTTTTGGCAGGATCAAAGAAGTAGTTATTAGCTACTAGATCAATGATTCCCAACCTTGGGTCTCCAGATGTTCTTGGACTAAAGCTCCTAGAATTTTTCTCCACTATCTGTGCTGGCCAAGGATTTCTGGGAATTGTAGTCCAAGAACATCTGGGGACCCAGGGTTGGGAAGCAGTGTAACTAGATGAAAAACAGAAGGGAACACACCGTCAGAATATGCAAAAGGCGCCTGCATGGCAGAATTGGTTAGGAAAAGGCATCACCCAATATCCTGTCATGCTATGTGATTAGCATCAGCGACGTCTACATTGGCTTGGGCAAGTTGTGAGAATGGCTGATGGTCGGATTCCAAAAGATCTCCCGTATGGAGAATTAGTGCAGGGAAATTGCCCCAGAGGGAGACCACAGCTGTGATACAAGGATATCTGCAAGTGGGATCTGAAGGCCTTAGGAATGGACCTCAACAGATGGGAAACCCTGACATGTGAACGTTCAGCCTGGAGGCAGGCGGTGCAGCATGGCCTCTCCCAATTTGAAGAGACCCTTGTCCAGCAGGCCGAGGCAAAGAGGTAGTCCCGAAACCAGCAAAATCAGGGAGCCGGACAGGGGACAGATTGTATTTGTCTTCAGTGTGGAAGGGACGGTTACTCTCAAATTGGCCTTCTCAGCCACACTAGGCCCTGTTCCAATTCCTCCATACAGAGCACGTTACCCTAGTCTCTCAAGACTGGAGGATGCCTAATCTATGTGATTACGGAAGGTGACGTACATGTTGTGCCCACTGCAAGAGGAGTCCCATGTCACACAGAGTCTGGTGCTGCTTGCAAGACTGGCTGGCCACCTGGTTTCATGTCTGGTCCTACAATAGGATGTCTCCTGGAAGTGGTGGATGTATATGTGATGAACTGACACTTGCTTATAACATTAATTCTTAATTCTCTGCTTTTGTTTCCTCAGAGCACTCAGGAGACATGAACATGATCACGTGCCCGACAACAACTTCAGAGTCAATAAATATGTCACCACATCTCATGTAATAAAGGGACTAAGCCGTGATTCTGTGGTTTCGTTCTCTTTTTGCATACTCTCCACTAAACCTATTCCTCTTCCTTGTGCACGGCAAGAAACTATGTGTCCCTAGGACATGCAGAAGAAGTGTCAGATCTTTGTGAACCAAGACTATGAATGTATGGGCCTGAGAAAAATATGTTTCCCTGCTGAGGATTTCATAGTCAGAAGATGATTAGTCAGTGGGAGTTCTTTATTCAAATTATGTGCTTTCGTGATTTCTGGAGGCCTTTAGTGAGTGTGAGCTGACCTTTCCTGAAATTGCCAAAACGGGGCTGATCAAAGAGGGATGCAAGATGTCCCTAATTTACATTGAATATCTCTTACTTAAAAGAACCTAGCACCTGCTCAAAATAAGTACAGGAGGTACTGTGACTGGTGGCTTTGAGTTGATGCCATTATTTAGTTTTCAGCATTTCCTTCATTCATTTATAGACCACGGGATAGCTTATTGGAGACAGAGAGTTGAATCTCACCCCAATTGGCTAAACCTAGTGAGTTCACTAAATTATCACCCCAATTGCCAGATGGAGGACTCAGGTTTTCTGTGTTACCCTCATTCAGACCAGTGTGAAAATACTTTAAATAGATGACAAACGAATGTAGATGTAGTAGCTAATAATCAACAATATAATAATCAATAGCTAATAAATCACTGAGATGGCTCAAACAAATAGACAAGTAAAAGGCAAGAGAAAGTTGTGTAGGAAAAAGACACTTTCTTCCTACCTTTTCTAGTACTGTATTAGGTTTTGTATTTCAAAACTATAAGATCCCCTAGAATAATCATAGTCTTGGAAGAAGATATGGTATAGAGGGCTTGCCTTCATGGGCTCATGGGTATAGTCGGGAGTGGGCTAAATGGGGTTGGGTCGCTAGAGGTCAAGTTGGACCTCTAAATTCAAATGACATGCACTTCAAGTGACTTTATTTGGTCCTGCTCCCTCTGTTGTCAATTCCTCATATCATGAAGTGGCTTCAGCAGAGAGCCACTTCATGATACGGGCAAATTAAATGTTTCCTCAGTTCCATGGAGGGGCAAAGGAAGTTTTCTTTCTCTCACATGGGACAAAACAGAACCATGAGGGCAATGGGCAGAACATTGAAGAGGAGTCCATGATCTTGAAAAATGGGAAGCTTTCCCTTTAAATCTTCCTTGCCCATTGCCTTTGGAGAGGAAGAGAGGGGAAGTTTTGAATTTCTTTTTAATGACTCCCACTTCTGGGAGGAAGTTTTCAAATTTTTAAAAAAAAACAATGCAGTGCATCAGTGCTCCCTAATGTAGTTTATTTTTTTTAATTTGCCCACGTCTGAGTTCAGCACTTTAACAACACATTTTTGACATTCCCATTAATTGGAGTCAGGTTATAGAATGTCTATGAACATTCTAATTCCTATAGCATGGAACCTACAGTCCAGGTTCTCAGAGAAGGGATTTTTGGTGGCTAATGAACAGAAAGCTGGCTTTAGAGAGTTCCCGAAAGACAGAGAACCACAGAGGCAGATACCTCAGTGGCAGAGTGAGGACTGCTAGAAAAGAACAAATTAAACAATGGAGTAATATATATCGAGTGTGGGCCAAGTGAGAGACACGAGGATTGGAGAAATAGATTTGAAGATTGTGGGCTTTTAGCAGTGCTCAGAAAAGTTACTCTTTTGGACAACATCTCCCAGAATCTATGCTGGTTGGAAAAATCCAGGAATTTTTGACAAAAAAACAAAAATCTTCCAAGTTCTGCTATGAAGCCAAAAGGGGCATAAGCAACACAGCTCAGTTATTTCCCCCAGAATAATAAATGGGAGCAGATCACATTGAAATCAAAAAGACTTAATTCTAGGTACACATATACAGAGGTAGAGTTAAGCTGTAGGCTTAGGTTTCTTGCGAACAATATCTTCCTCAGTTATCTGTGTTCCTGTTGTCCCCTCCCTGTCTTGCAGAGATGCCTATCGTTTGTAGAATTCCTAAAGATTCTGGAACATGCTCCCAAAGATTGATTCGCTACTACTATGACCAGGCCAGTGGCAGTTGTGAAACATTTGTGTACAGCGGCTGTGATGGCAATGCCAATCACTTCCACAGCATTGAGGAATGCCAGACGATGCACAGTGTTTAATGGGTAAGTTGAGTGGAAGGGGGGGGGAGGCTTTTTGCTGTCGTCACGCCAGAGGAATAGAATCGTATCCTAGAATCACAGAATCATGAAGTTGCGAGGGGCCTAGAAGGCCATCAAGTCCAAATCCCTGCTCGATGCAGGAATCCAAAGCAAAAGATGCCTGCCAGGTGGTTGTCTAAAATGTCTTTAGAATGCCTCTAATGTTGCCGCACTCACTACCTCTTGGTTCCATAGCTGCAGGCTGGGCTACATTTTTCTTTTGGCAGGATCAAAGAAGTAGTTATTAGCTACTAGATCAATGATTCCCAACCTTGGGTCTCCAGATGCTCTCAAGGGAGAGTGTTCCCAGAAAGGCCACCCTTTCTGGTGCGATCAGATGTGCTTCCTTCTCATTGCAGACAATCACATCCTTAGTCAACTCATTATTTGCCTGTGGAGGAGGAATTGATTGTAAATCACATCCGTCTTCTAACATCTTTCCCCACCATTACAGATCCCAAAGTATCATTTAATATCCTAATGACTATGTTCTTGATTCTCTGCCTTTGTTTCCTCAGAGCAGTCATGAGACTTGAACATCAGCACATGCCCGACAACAACTTCAGAGTCAATAAATATGTCACCACATCTCATGTAATAAAGGGACTAAGCCGTGATTCTGTGGTTTCGTTCTCTTTTTGCATACTCTCCACTAAACCTATTCCTGTTCCTTGTGCACGGCAAGAAACTATGTGCCCCTATGACATGCAGAAGAAGCGTCAGATCTTTGTGAACCAAGACTCTACCTCTGGGTAGAGTGGGCGGCATATAAATTAAATAAATAAAATAAATAATGTAAGGGCCTGAGAAAAATATGTTTCCCTGCTGAGGATTTCATAATCAGAAGATGATTTCATCTAATGAAACTTCTTAACATTGGCTTTTGGTTTGGTTTGGTTCTTTTTTCTTAAAAGTCCAGTAGTGGTAACTAGAGGTCATGTTGTATCATTTAATGGAGCAAAAGCACAAACAGCATTTCTTGATTTAAAAAATTACTTGGCATATATTACAACAAGCAAACTTTGTCCAGCAACAATTAGCATACACATAACGATATGATGCAAAACTGGAACCAAACAAAATAGATGCAATGATGGAAGTTGTGATATAATTTCCTCTCTGCAGGGCACAATTATGCAATAACTCAGCTGAGGAGAGGTTTGAAAAGGAGGATGAGACACAACTACTGCAGTTATTGGTTTGCTAATTGTTATTAAAAACTGATAATTGACCATTTTTCAAAACAGCTTTGTCATTCATAAATCATGAAAATTTTATTTTCATTTAGTATATCATCACTCCCATGCCTGTCCTCTGCAGTAGTTTCTCATGCCTAAATGAATGAAAGGGGCTTGGACAAGAATAAGATTTTAGTTCTCTTACTTTTAGTTTGTATGCGGGCATGATGGAATTTTAAGAAGTGAGAATGACAGCTGTAGTTCACACTGATAACCACAAGGACAAAAATCTAGGTGTCAAAATCTGGCAGATTTTGAGGGAACTGGGGAAACTGAACATACTTCATACTTTCCTATCAAGTAATTTATGTTTAATAAAGAGTTACTTCAGTGGTAGGAGAACTTAGTTATACAGTTGTCTAGCAATAAACAAGAAATAAACCAGGAGTACAAACACATGCCTGATTATTCAATCTTTCTTCCATATAGCTTGAGAACATGCTTATTCCATTATCAGTCTTGTGAAAGATCTCACATCTGCTTAAGGGCTTCCTCGCGTGATTCCTTTCTGGCCGTACTTATTCCTCTGAGTTGTGATCTCTGAGGAACATGTATGCCCAGAAGGCAAGAACAGATAAATAAACACTGGCAAATTTGAACTTTCCATCAGTTTGCAGATTCTGTTGTGCTTTAATCATATGTGGGCAATTTGTAACCTGCAGATGGTTACTCCACCCTGTATCACAGGATCTCAGGGCAGGCAACAGAGCCATCTAAAACTTAAGATGCTCAAAACAATTTAAAATTAAACAGTTTAAAACACAAATCAACCTCAACCCTCAATGATTCTAATATATAAGCATGTTTGGACTTGGTGTCGAAATGGCGTCAATATTGGTGCCAATTGAGCCTCCAAGGGGAGGACGTTACACTGCTGGGATGCTACGCAAGAAAGCTCTCTCCCACATCTCCATGTAATGAACTGTTCTCAATGGTAGGACATAGAGGAGGGCTTCCCAAACAGATAAGATCATGGTATCATAGAATAATTGAGTTGGAAGGGAGAAATAAGGCCATCAAGTCCAACTTCCTGCTCAGTGCAGGAATCCAGATCAAAGCAGATCTGACAGATGGATATCCAATGGTCTCCTGAATGCCCACAGTGTTGGAGCAATCACCACCTCCCGAGGTACAGTAATTGGTTCCATTGTCGTACTGCTCTAACAGTAAAGAGGTTGTTCCTGATATTCTTAGTTATCTGGCAGGTTTATGTAAGGAGAGACACTCAAATAGACTTTAGCCTATTATTTAGTGTATCAGCTCCCTAGTCAGTGGGAGTTCTTTATTCAAATTATGTGCTTTCCGTGATTTCTGGAGGCCTTTAGTGAGTCTGAGCTGACCTTTCCTGAAATTGCCAAAACGGGGCTGATCAAAGAAGGATGCAAGATGTCCCTAATTTACATTGAATATCTCATACTTAAAAGAACCTAGCACCTGCTAAAAATAAGTACAGGAGGTACTGTGACCGGTGGCTTTGAGCTGATGCCATTATTTAGTTTTCAACATTTCCTTCATTCATTTATAGACCACGGGATAGCTTATTGGAGACAGAGAGTTGAATCTCACCCCAATTGGCTAAACCTAGTGAGTTCACTAAATTATCACCCCAACTGCCAGATGGTGGACTCAGGTTTTCTGTGTCACCCTCGCTCCCTGGCCAAGAACTTGGGCATCACATCCACAACTTTACAACAGCAACCAGACAGCTTCCTGCACCTTCTTCTGACTTACATCTAAGCAAGATGTGCCTGGCAAAATCCATCTTGCAAAACAAAAACAAAACAAAAAGTTTGGAATTTACATCCAAGAGTAACTTTCCTGGCAAAATCCATCTTGCCATGAACTCTTCTTCACACTGGTACACGCCTTTGGAAGTGGTGTTCATCTACAAAAGCTCACGGGTTGTATGATGATTTTGTAGTGGTCTGTAAAGGTACTGCCTGTTCTTGCATCTGCATTTCATTTTGTATGGACCACACAGCTCCTCTTTATTTAAAAGATACTTGAAGTAGAAGTCCGCTTCTGTCTGTGGAAGTGCTCAATCTGTTGTAGAAGCCTGCTGACATCGGGAGGGCTGTCTACAGGAACAGGCTCTCTGGATATTGCAGAGCCCTTGCTAATAATACAAGGGACAAAACAGAACCATGAGGGCAATGGGCAGAACATTGAAGAGGAGTCCATGATCTTGAAAAATGGGAAGCTTTCCCTTTAAATCTTCCTTGCCCATTGCCTTTGGAGAGGAAGAGAGGGGAAGTTTTGAATTTCTTTTTAATGATCAGTAATGCTTTGACAGGGCTTTAAAAAAAATAACTTTTCAAAGCATTGCTGATACTTTAGTAATTGTTAAAAAGAAATGCAAACACTTCTACCTTGTCCTGCCCTCCAAGGAGAACTGAGAAGAAGTTTCCAGTTACTGGACTTCCCCAAAGGAACAGCCTTAACAGGCTTGAGAAATCTTTCCCTTGGAGAGAATCTTATTGGGGATACAATCTTTCCTTTTAAAGAGAAAGAAGATCTTGGTCATACTAAACAGAATCAACTGGGATGAGATGTGGTTTTCTGACCCCAAATCACCTAATCCTGGCATGTGGAAGCAAGGATTGCACTGTGCACCTGTGTCTAGCCTTAACTGACCTCAAGTGATCCTATTTAGCCTGATCCTGCCCACTCCAGTTTGGGCTTAGACAACCAAATATATATATTTAATGGGGGATCAACCATTGCTTGTATCTTTACGCCAACAAGTTCTAATGCCAGTCCTATTTGATTTTGCTTTACCACTAAGTATAAGGAGATTGCCCAAGGTGAAGCCCATAACCACCATAACACGTTCATACAGCCTCATTTGTATGTCTGCAGCCAAGAGAAATATAATGGGAATGAGGATATCTAAATGAATGGCTGCCTTTCTGCTTCTGTGTGTCTCAAGGTGCATGCATCAAATACCTACTCTTGCTTCGAGCTTCTCCTACAAGCTTTGACTCTGCCCACCGTTAGTTGCAAATCACAATAGACACCAGGTGCCATTGCTCTGAAGTCCCGCTATGTTCAATATGTATAGCTTGCATGTAAATAGGTCTAAGTGCTGTAGCTTTAGTTCTCTTCTGATGAAGATTACTGGAAAATATGTAGCTTTCCAATGGTTATTTGTAAGAATACAGAGAGAGCATATGGGAAGCAATTGTTGATTTGCTCAGTGCATCCACCTGGAAGCATGTGAAAGTTCCTTATTAATTTTTGTGCCTTCCTTGCTTGCTGTAGGCATTTCATGCCTAGTATGATCTTTCCTGATCTCTTTATGACATTGCCAAAAGAGGATTGATCTAAAATAGGGTTACAAGATGTCCATAATTTACATGGAACATTCCTTTCTTAACATTTCCTGATCTCTTTATGACATTGCCAAAAAAGGACTGATCTAAAATAGGGTTGCAAGATGTCCATAATTTACATGGAACACTCCTTTCTTAACACAATCAAGGTAAAGGTTCCCCCTGACATTTAGTCCAGTTGTGTCTGACTCTAGGGGGCCATGCTCATCCCCGTCTCCAAGCTGTAGAGCCAGCGTTTGTCCATAGACAGTTTCTGTGGTCACGTGGCCAGTGCGTCTAGACACTACCTTCCCACCGTGGTGGTACCTGTTTGAAAGATCTTGCTAGGTTGACAGGAGCTGGGACAAGCGACAGGGGCTCACTCCCTCACGTGGATTTGATCTTACGACTGCAGGTCTTCTGACCTTGCAGCACAGAGGCTTCTGTGGTTTAACCCGCAGTGCCACCACGTACCTGATAACACAATCAAAGGCTTCCTTAAAAACACACACAACAGTTTCTAATAACAGGTACCTAATTATTGCTACTTTGTGCTGGTTAATTTTAGTAGATCTTCAATGCAGCACCTTAATCTAAATGTTTCATCTTCATTTAACTTGGGGTCGTCAAGAGCCTTCAGCTCTCAAGGATTAGTCCTCTTGAGGATAAAGGGCTGAGTGTGAATGAATGAATGAATGAATGAATGAATGAATGAATACATGATGCCTGAAATAACATGCCGTATTTGAAGTAGGCATGACTGTAATCTGAATGAATGAATGAATGAATGAATGAATGAATGAATGAATGAATGAATGAGTGTATACATGATGCCTGCAATGACATGCCGTATTTGAGGTAGGCATGACTATAATCTGAGACTTTGTGATATTCTGATTTTATCACTCACATGTTGGTGGAGGCCTTTAAGGCGGCCTGATCTAAACATTTTTGCTTTGCCCCAGGCTTTGTTGCCAAAAGGCTCTGCTTGAAATCTTGCTTATCTGATTTACCTCGAATGTCTCACATTCAAGAACACGGTGCCTCCTGGAAATGAGCACAGCAGCTCCTCTACGTTGTGTGTTTGATTCTGGACATCCTGTTTTGGTTGCCTACCTTGTAATTTTCACCTTTTTGCATTTCCTTGCAGAACACTATATAAATAAAATTGTCACTTAATTCTTCCCTGGACACCAGTCTGCATCAGCACCATGGGTTATAGAGAGGGTGTTTTTTGCTGTCTTCTGGAACTTCTTCTTGTACCCTGGCCAGAGTTTCTGGGCACCTCTGGCTGGAGTGCTGAAGGTAGGACCTCCCTTTGGTGGAACCCTCCCACTTATTCCTATGTCGGGGTCAACAACCAGGTTTCAAGCAGGTACAGTAATTGTTTGTGACAAATAAAGATCTCCTCGAGAAGATCATGGAAAATCTTTCCACAAGTACAGACCAATGAATAAGGGATTTAAAAAATATATTTCAGGATATTTATGATGGGGGGGGGAGCATATAACTCTCTGCAGGGGCAAGTAAGTAGGCAGAGCAAAATGTGGGGGCAGGGATTTTATTTTCCAGTTTCATTCATCTCTGTAAGCTTCTCAATTTGTTCATCGCCCAGTTTCTGAAACTTGAGAAGTTGGGTACAAATGTTTGGGATGCAGTTTTATTTATTGAACAACAACTAGCCTCTCTCTTCCCCCTCATCCCTGAAGCGAAAGGAAGGTGTGAGAGACACAGAGCAGTGACAAAGCTTAAAGTGAACAGATATATGAATTAGGGAAACATTCTCCAATCTGGTACACTCCAATCTGGACTACAAATCCTACTATTCAGAGTTAGCAACTGAATCATGGGACTTTGTAGTAAACCACATCTCAGTACTGCTGGAGTTTTATTTGCAACCTTGCACACTGTCTAGTTTGTGTAACTGTGACACTTTTCTGGGCTGAGGTGATTATCTATTTATCCAGCATTAATCATTCCTTCCAGCTTTTGAATTCAAAGAGAGCCTTGCCTCTCTACTGAGTGTTCTCTTTTCCTCTCTTTAGTAGGCTGGTGGCAATCGTTTGTTGCTGTTGATCTGTTCAGTTGGTTGCTAAGTATGTGTGTAATAAAGAAAGCAGCATACAAAGGTCTATAATTTCAAGCAGCTATAAGTAAAGAAAGGTTTTTATTGGTTTTTACTACCAATATCTCAGAGTGAGTTACTGAGGTTGCAAATGCCAGTTAATGAGAAAAGGGGTGGACTCTGGAGAACTTGTAGCTATTCTCCTCTGTGGATCTCTGTACTTCTAGGTAGCAAAAGGAATTTTACCATCAATCAAAAACTCTGCGACAAATAGTTTATACCCAGAAAACACCGAGGTTGCAGTCAACTTGACAACAAAATAGACCAGGGAAGCTTCATTAAACTAAAAAAAGAGCCAAGAATAAGTACTCTGTCCTCAATTTCAAACTGCACCTATGTCAGTAATTATATATTTCTCTCTCCCTCTTTTTCTCTCCTCGCAGGAGCTCTGCTTAATATATGCAAACTCCCTAAACAAGAGGGAATATGTATTGACAAAATACCAAGCTATTACTATGACTTCAAGGAGAAGGTCTGTAAAGAATTTAATTACAGTGGCTG